ATTAAGACATAAAAAGTCAAAATTAAATAGCATAATTATGACACAAGGTAATTATAAACAAAAGAGAAAAAAAAAACAATGACCTTTTATCAAATTTGACTGTTGCATACTTTTGACTTTTTAATCTCAAGATGACTGCTAAATTCTACTTTTGACACAAAGTAGACAAAAAAGCAAAAATTTGGAGAAAAAAGCCACAATTATGATATTTAACCAATATAATATTTTTCATATTAACTCAAGTGGTGGAAATGGGGTTTAATATTCTATTTTTTTGTTATGGAATCCCAACATTTTTATGTGCATCCTTGTGCTTACCATATTGCTATCTTAGCAACATGCTAACCTGCACTTTCTCGTGTGTTTCTCATACGGCTGACATTATGAGTGCTATTTCTGTGAGAAGCCTGTGAGAAGCATTTCAAATTGACCACTTGTGAGGTTCTAAATAGAACCCTCACAAGTGGTCAATTGGAAATCTAAAATGTGGAACTACGCAACACTTATGTTCTATAACTCTTAGCTTGTGCTTATCATACCAGTATATAGTGTACGCCTCTGCCTGAGCCGGATCTTGTATGTTCGGTTCATTTAGCAGCTCCTGAATCCCTAACAGGATCTGAAGGAAGAAAAACAGCAAGATCAGCTTTTATAAAAGAGCACTGTAGAACACAAAGCACTAGAATAGAACCGACTAGACTTTCAATGGACCTGTTTAATGGTAATGGCAGGTCTCCAGTCTTTATCCTCCTCTAGGATGGAAAGACACACTGTTCCTGAAGGATACACATTCGGATGGAACAGCGGAGGCTCAAATTTACCTTCGGAAAAGAAGCAAGCATTCGTGAGGTGTGATCCAGGCAGCAAGGATATGGATACGGATATGGAAACATACTGGATATGTTTGTGCAAAACTCACATTTTGGGGGTGATGAGGGGTAGTCATCTTTAAACAGCATCCTTAACTTAAACAGACCTCCTTCCCATGGAGTCTAGAGAGAGATGGAGAGAGATCTCACATGATGCTACAGCGGATTAATCGAATTAAAGCTTAAAGGAGCCGTCTTACCCCCTTCTTTCCTGGAATAGCACATTCCCAGTTCATAAGATTCATGGTACCGTCAGGGTTTTTCGTCGGCACAGCAACAAAGCCCTGGGGACATTTGGTCGAGACAAAAGCACTAAGTGAGCACCAGAGGATACAATGCTCATGTGTTACAGGGTTCATAATAAAACAAAGGTTTATTTTGTAGTATATATCCAGAAGTGAACAGATGTGCATGGGATTACACTGATTGTTGTGTGGACTGCAAGTCAATTTAATAAAAGAATATAAGGGTTACTCACGAATGGATGGTCTTTCCGCCATGCTTTGCGCTCTTGCGCAAGTCGACTCAGAGCAATGCCAGACATGACCTCTGAACCTATAGAGAAATGCACATTTATCTGAGTATATGCTAAATAAATAAACGAGAACGCAAGTGCAATATATTTAGAAACTAGAATATTTGTAGTTCTTATAAAAGATTTATATTATGGAATATTTGTAGATCATTTATAGAATATTTCATATTTAGAATATTTATAGTACCCATCATATAAACCTGCCTGTGACAGATGCACTTGAGAAAAGTTCTAAGGATTTTTAAACTAAAAGGGGTTTTTTTTGCATGCCAAAGCAATTTTTAGCAGCCAGGCAAAATGAATATTCAAAGATTTTATTTATTTTTTACCAGTAATAAAACTTCACACACATTTTGGTGAATATAAAATCATGTAAACTAAATTGTTATAGTTCATCATGAGTTAATAAATGAATCATTCTAATATGGTAGCTTCAGGGTAAACTTTTTTGTAGGTTGTTCATTTTTGACTGGGAACACAACAGGAGTAACTAATTATGGATTAGTATTCCCAAAAAAGAAAAAGTAAATAAAGTAAGTAAAATAATAATAAACATAATAATAGAGAAGTTGTGGGAAAAGCCAGGCTGTTTTAGTCCAATGCAATAACAACAACTAGCATTTCTGGGAAAAAAGAAAATTAACTTAATTTATATACTTTATTTGGTTTATCATAATCAAGAGTTCGTAAATGTTATGAAATCCACAGTATGACATCATAATCAAAATTTGACGTCACACTATGCGCTTAAGCAAATTTTCATTACACCACAATCAAAACTGAGGTTGTTAACTGCCTATTACGACGATATAATAAAGGTTGTTAACTATAGATTATATTGTATGATAGATTATGTCATAATATTAAGTTTACAAGCTTGATTAAGCAGTCACATCTCAGGTTTTTAAGTCCTCATAATGGCATCATAATAGAAGTTCGTCCTACACTATGACATAATGGAATTTTAACTCCACGTTATGACTCCATAATCACGGAAGGTTTTGACTTAACATTATGACGTCATAAAATGTCAATAAATATGGAGTCGAGCGCTGGAACGCTGTTCATAAGCGCGCGGGACAAAGAAACTCGACTTCCTTTGGCGCGAGCTCGCGTTCACACAGCAACCATGCCAAACAAAACCGATGCGAGCGTCTACCGGCCGCCGAAACACAATAATACATCGACCGTACCGACAGAACCGCCTTACCTTGTGAATCCCAGTGTTATTCGACTTCTGGGCCCGCGTATTCGAATCGTGTTTGACTCGGAACCACAGCTGTGAAGTTTCCCTCGCGAAAACACATTCGGTTCTGAAGCAGTCTAATCAGGACCCGCGGCACGACGCGCAGATCGCCTGCAGGAAAATCGAGATAACGCGAATGCTGTCCGTTCAACAGATAGAATTGTTTAAATATTTTAGCGTTGACATACAGGCGCCATGTGTTTAGGAAAATTAGACGTTGTATTTTTACTCCGGTGGAAACAATTTAGAGCAGGCATTCCTTTAGACGGCTAATATTTAAAGGTACAGTACCAGAATTTAAAAAAATCTATCTATCTATCAGGGCAAATTTATAAATAAATAAATTAATAAAGAAATATACAGTTTCAAAGAAATCGGCAGGTTTACTAACCATAAATATATATATATATATATATATATATATATATATATAAATAATAAAAACTTAATAAAGTAGTTGTTTTGTCCTGGATGTTCAAAAAGTCACAGGAATAAAATGGAGAATATAAATAGAGTCCTTGAGACTTTCAAAGAAAGGCCTAATTTTCATGGTTTCGTTTATACAGCTTTCCAGCTATAAAAATATACCCTAGTTCCTATTGACTTCTATGTTATTTTTTTTCCATACTATGGAATTAATAGGGACCAGCAACTGTTTGGTTACAACATTTTGATGTATTTATTTTTAATTTATTTACTTTTGTAAACTGAATTTTTTTTTATCACCACACGGTGGAGCTGTGAATGTAGAATTGAGTGAGCTTGATTAATTCTAGAATATTTTAAATGAAATGAGAGAAAACGCATAATGTATGTAAATATATTGACCTCATGAATTTCCAATCAGTGTTATTTCAGTATTATTTATATGCTATTATACTATTTGTTAATATTTTGAATCAGCTTTTATTTTTATTTAATTTTAGGCATTTTGCTAAATACTTGTCCTTTTTATTAGTTGTTAATATTTCTATTTAGCTTTATTTTTATTTCAGTTTTAGTTTGAGTAATTTTAGTGCTTCAACTTATTTAAGTTAGTTGCTAAAGCAACATTGCTAATTCAAATTTGAAAGTTTATATTATTACAATTAAAAAGGATTTTTAATATATAGCTTTATTTATTTATTTTTTTCCAAAATGGCAGTAAAAAGCACACAGACATGTGACTATTTGTTGAAATTGCTTATATATTTTAAAAGTGTGTGGATGTGTGTCGCTACATTCAACTACTTGAATTTTACAGTGACGTGATTTTGCAGAACCGGTTTACATGTTAGAACATGTTAGCATTTTCAAAAGTCATACAAATGCATACGCTGCTACCTTATAGGATATATAGTATATACCAAAATGTGCAAGATCAGGACAGGCAAAGTGTCATTTAAATGCTTCACATCCTGTCTCTCCTCTTGGCTGACAGACAGAAAAGCTCCTTTCCTTTAAGGTCCAGCCAAGTATTCAGTAATAATATACACTAACACATTTCTTAACAGCAGTTCACCGCTACCTCTGAAATATTGCCTGGATAATAATAACAACAGCAGTAGTGCAAAAGCGATAATTTTCACATTAAAAGGAGTAAAAAATCATTCAAAAGTTTGGGCTCAGTAAGATTTTTTTTTTTTCCAAGAAAATATTTTTATTCAGCAAGGACACATTAAAAGCAACAGTAAAGACATTTCTAATGTTATAAAATATTTCTATCTCAATTAAATGCTGTTTTAAACTTTCTATTTATCAAACTGAGCAAATCAGCATATTAGAATGGTTTCTGAAGGATCATGTGACAGTTAATTGTAATAAAATTTCACCATATTACTGCTTTTACTGCATTTTTGATCAAATTAATGCAGAGACTATACTTATACAAAAATATTTAAAAATCTTACCAACCCCAGACATTTGAATGGTAGTGTAGCTAAAATCTCAACACCAAGAAATATTAATTAAAATTTTCATTTGTGCTCAAACATGGTGCTATTGCCAAATTTTTTACTGATTTTCAAAATCACTTTTGTTGCATATATAAATCATAGGACAGTAGGGTCCAAAAGTCTGAGACCACAAAAAAGGGATTTTTTTTTTAAACCTTCGCAAAAAGAGTTAAAATAATTTTCTCTTTTGAAGTAGTGTTAAATAAAGTCCGTACTATATCTGTGTCTAATCAAATGACATTGATCATGTGACTCTTTGTACAGACGCTCAGATTTTCCTGCTTCCATTGAAGCTCAAGACGCTCTTTGAAACATTGCAAATCATGCAGGAGTACATGACCATCAGGTTTTGATCATGTTATTGATTAAAGAAAAAGGGAGACAAACCAAAAAGGTGGGCAGTGATTCAGAGTGACCTGTCCATTTCCTTTTGTTCCCTGAGATTGACATTGGTCCAGCTCTCCAGATCCTGTCTCTGAATCCATGAAGATCAAAACAAACAAGCACCATACAGACTGGATTGCAGTGGACATGCTCTTCACGTGCGTCAGGTGTCCAGTGCTCTCGAGGCGTGAAGAGAACAAGCTCATGGAATGTTCTAGAAAGAGCTGATATGTCTCAAAACGCGGGAGCTCTAGATGATCATATTCTAGAACCACGTTCCTGTAGAATCTGAGGGAAAACAGCAGAGGATTTACATAAAACCACAAAAGATTACTAATCAGCACTAATCGACTATCACCAATACCCTAAAACACAACAGCCATACTTTGAATAACATACTATGCATACTATAGCTGAAGAATTCTAGTATGTACACTACAGACTTTTAAATGGGTCTTCTGCTCACCAAAGCTGCATTTATTTGATCAAAATTACACTAAATTCAGTAATATTGTGAAATAGTATTACAATTTAAAATGACTGTTTTCTATTTGAATATGTTGTCAAATGTAATTTATTCCTGTGATGCGCAGCTGAATTTTCAGCATCATTACTCCAGTCTTCAGTGTCACATGATCCTTCAGAAATCATTCTAATATGCTGATTTGCTGCTCAAGAAACATTTCTGATTATTGTCAATGTTGAAAACAGTTGTGCTGCTACATATTTTTATGGAAACTGTGATACACTTTTTTTTATTTTTTATATTCTTTGATAAATGGAAACTTCAAAAGAACAGCATTTATTGGAAATAGAAAAAATTTGTAACATTATGAATGTATTTTACTGTCCCACACATGCCGCTTACCTTGGCTTTCTCACTGGGTTGAGTGTAGCTGCTGTATGATTGGTTGTGCAGTTCCTTAGAAACAACACACAAGAACTCCGCCTGATCTTCATTACCATAGTTATAGGAGGATCCGATATTGACCAACTACACAAAACATGAATGAGAGAGAAAATGGAGAGAAACAGACAGAGTTTAGCAACTGTTCTCAGTGAGTGACTATAGATGGTTAAAGGAATATTTCACCCAAAAATGAAAATTTACTGAATGCTTACTCACCCTCAATCCATCCAAGACGTAGATGAGTTTGTTTCCTCATCAGAACAGATTTGGAGAAATTAGTCATTTCATCACTTGCTCTGCAGTGAATGGGTGCCGTCAGAATGAGAGTCTAAACAGCTGATAAAAACATCACAATAATCCACAAGTAATCCACACCACTCCAGTCCATCAGTTAATGTCTTGTGAAACGAAAAGCTGCATGTTTGTCTGAAACAAATCTATCATTAAGTTTAGACTGTTGCTTCTAACTAAAATATGAATCTTCTATACATAATATTGCTTTCTCCGGTAAAAAGGTAATCTCGTCTGAATCAGGAGAGAAATATGCAAGCACCATTTACAAGGGAAAACAGTCCAAACAATATGTGGGTGGATTTTGATGTGAGAGAATAACAGGGGATGGCCTTTTTCACTGGAGGAAGCGTATGGACTCCTTTATTTAGCCAGAAAAAGTTCAAGTCAAAGTTTAAAGTTAAAAGTGTCTTGAATTTGTTTCTTACAAACATGCAGCTTTCTGCTTCACAATAATTGATGGAATAGATGGACTGTTGTGAAGTGGATTATTGTGATGTTTTTATCAGCTGTTTGGACTCTCATTCTGACGGCACCCATTCACTGCAGAGCATCCATTGGTGAGCAAGTGATGAAATGCTACATTTCTACAAATCTGTTCTGATGAATAAACAAACTCATCTACTTCTTGGATGACCAGTGTACATGTTTAGTACATTTTCATTTTGGGGTGAACTATTCTTTCAAAGCGACAGTCCACCTTAAAATGCTGATGATTGTGCGTCACTGGAAACATTTCCCCTGCCTTAACTCAGGTTTGACTTCAGTGACAACTGGTCATGGAAACATGACATTTGGCATATTTTTACTATTAGCAAGAATGTGATTGTAGAGCTATTTGTGATTCTAATTTAATTGCGATTTCACACTTTTTTCTACTTTTTTTCCTCATTTTGGAGCTTGACTGTATTGGTTGCCATTCACTTTCATTGCACAGGAACCATGTGAAAATTGTGCAAAATATCTTAACAATGAAGTACATAACAAAGGGTTTTGAAATGGTCATTTTAGGTGAACAATCCCTTTAACAAAAATACAACAGGGTGCACATAAATTGTCAACATGCTCGGAAATGCAATTGAATGCAAAGACTCGGCCCTTGTTAAAAACATGTGAACACAATTATAAACATGCAGAACATGTGTGAATCACCAACATCCACGCAGGCGACAGCATTCACTGTGACCATTGCAATGAAAATCAGCATGCAGTGGTTAGTGGGAGGACGGGGGATCGTTGGACACACCTCTCCACTGTGGGCGGGGTGAGTTTGGCTTGACTCCTCCCCCTTCACCTCTCGAGACACAATCAGGAAAAACTCTGACTTCTGGGCCCGCCCATAACCTACACTGACAAGCTGCAACAATCAATCAGAGCGTAAGGCAGGGCCTGCATCACACACCGCAGGTCAGCTGAACCGGCGGGAGCGATTCTGATTGTTGTGGAGCTGGAATGATCAGATGAACTAAAGCCGGGTTCGATTTACCTGCTCAAACTTCCATCCGTCTGACATGGTCGAGACCATCTGAGTAAGTTCTTCCTCTTGACACTGTAACACTCTGTAAACATGCTTGACCGGCGACTGAAAACAGAGACAAGGATGGTGAAATATGTAAAGCATCTGTCTTTCATTTACACACTACATGTAAATAAAGAACATGTCATTTAAATATAAATGAATTTAATTTATATGTGTGCCTGAAGGCACATGTGGATTTGCATTCTGCCTGTTTATGCCTGAATTAAACTTTATTTCCACAGATGTAGCTCATCACATTAACTATAGATAAGTTTAACGGACTTTTGACAGCCACAAAGTGTCACAATCATTTTCATCTTCATTTTGAACAATATATCTAGATTAGATAGATAGATAGACAGACAGACAGACAGATATAGATAGATAGATAGATAGACAGACAGACA